GCCCCTGCTGCTGCTGCCCCTGCTGCTGCTGCTGCTGCTGCTGCCCTTCTGCCGTTTGGAGGCGGCCCCACAGCCTTCCGCCCCGCGCTTGTTCCGCAGGCGAGCCGGACTACGCGCGGGAGTGCGCGCACCTGACGAACGAGGCCGTGTCGCTCATAAAGTGGATGCTCATCAAACCCGAAAGCGAAAGACCCACGGCCACCCAAGTCCTCCGACACCCCTGGTTCAAACAGGCCGACCTCAAAGACATCCACATCTCCCCCATCATTTGCGAAAACATGAAAGTGAGAATCCAACAGACACACCCGCCCTCCCCACCTCCCCAGTACTCTCTCGAACACCGCTCGAAGAATGCACTTCTGTATAAACACCACAGTCCAAAAGAAGCGACAAATAAAACAAGATCCGCAACATTCAATTGCAAATATGAACACAATTTGCCATTTGCCTGCCTTTGCAGAAATACATGCGACAGTCACATCTCAAGAACGCACTTGTCAATCTGATGGTCCACCAGCTAAATGTCACTGGACCTCAAATTCGACAAATCAACGAAATATTTCGCCAACTCGACAAGGACGGCGACGGAACAATCTCCCACAGCGAACTCACCGAAGGTCCGCTGCACCTCAACAGCAATTTTTTAATTGTAATTTCGCATTAAGTACAAACTTTGCAGGAGGAGGGATTATAATTTCAGGCGGACCCCCTGAGATGCATGTGTACATATTGCACAAACACATCCGATTTCTCATTTCAGGTCTGGCCCAGGTGGGCCTTCCACAGTGGGACATCAACAGAATCATTCAGTCGATCGACGTTGACGACTCTGGGAATGTTTCGTATACAGGTAACCGAATTTCTGGCAAGAAGAGCGGATCACGACATGTATGAAGCGAGCCAATTAGAGCACGAACATGCATGGGCGTGTGTGTGCGCATTTTGCAGAGTTTTTGGCCGCGTGTTATTCATGGAAGGAGTCGGAGCTGAATGTGATATGGACAGCATTTCAGAAGATGGACAAAGTGCGCACACCACGTTTTTAACAACAGTCACGTTCTAAACCCTTTCTAGTTCGAGCCGTGTGCAGTGCGCCGCACCGGTAGAATGTGTCTGCACTACGTTTCGACTGCAGGACGGCGACGGGAAAATATCGGTTCCCGAGTTCGAAGCTGTCCTCGGCGGCGAGGACTACCGGCTGGTGCCGAAGGAAACGATCAAGTCGTTGGTGGCGCAAATCGACAAGAACGGCGATGGGCAGGTGAGAGGGCGTGGGGGGGGTGCTTGGAAGTTCGTGAAGTTTCCGTTCTTGGCTCCAGTCCGTCAAGCTTTCCGAGACTTACTGCGCAGGGGGCGTTTCGGCTTGAATGGTTTCTGCGCAGATTGACTGGGACGAGTTCTTGCAGTACATGAAACTCAACTGACCTTCGGCCGAGGCCGCCGTCGCAGCGACTGCGCGGAACGAAGAAGATCGCACACACACGATCTCGAAGGTGACGCCTTCGCGTGGAGGAGAGCCGCGGGCTCCAACGCACTCCTGCGGAGTGCCTTCCGCGTTGTGCAGCGGAGGACAAGCAGTGTTCTTGTCTCGTAGTTGTCGCAGCAGCAGTGCAGGAGTCGCAGTGGTGCGTGGCGGCGGCGAGAGAGGAGGCAGCAGTGGCCAGCGAGCGCCGCCCAGTATTGTAGTAGTGCCAAGACCGGCACTTTTGGCTTCGGGCGCCGCGACTTGAAAGCAGTCGCGTTCGCAGTTATTTTTAAAGTAAATCGCACAGAGTGTGGCTACTGGTGAAGAGGCTTTTTGAGAATCGCTACAGAGGAACGGCAGGAACGGCTCGGGTGTATGTACAACTCTGGGCGACGCCTGATCCTGCGCTCGGCAGCTCGTCACATCTTTTTTTGTCTCCTGTTTTTGAAAACCGGGTTGGCCATAGTTCAAGATGGTCTATTCACTGGCTTTTTTGTTTTTGTAGCATCGCATTCTGTTCCCACGTGGTACTTCCCCACACGTCACGTCACCCGCAACTTCACAATGAGGCAACGCGAAAGCAGCAATGCAAGAACGCGTCGAAGCGTTTCGAGCCCCCAAAGGACTCAGGTAAACCACTACCCCAAGTCCCACGCCTTCCTTCTTTACTGCCACCCCAGGGCCACAATGAAGCACACCCGCCAGCACACTTTAGACAGCAGTCGCCGGCGCAGGAAATTCGCTATCTGGGTTTGAACCCGTTGAACCGGTCGACGCGTGGACAGCCGGGGCAGCCGCCTTTCCCGCCGCCGCCTCAATTCGCGTGAGTCTGTGAACATGCATGCGGCTCAGGAACGAGCCCGTGGCTTAATCTGAACACTTGTGAACACTGTAGACAGGGAGTTCCCGAAGAGCTCTTTAGAACCCAGGAAGTAAACCCTCTGAATAACAACTTTTCAGAGCATCCGAACAACAGCCTCCGGCACGCGCAATCCGTGCCGCACGCGCCCCAGCAACCTTTCACGGGACAATTATTTCACCCTCACCACCAGTCACAGCATATGTTCCAACAAATGCCACCGCATCAGCAGATGCATCCGCACAATCAGCCGCCAGTTAACGCCCCCCCGCAAATGTATCGGGAAAACCGTCACGACTATTCCACGTACAACTCTTTCCAGCCTCCTACGCCCAACATGCCGAGGCAGCATGACCCGCAAGAGCAAGCGGTGCTGGCTTCGCTGCAGTATCCGGCCTGGGAGCGCTACGAGAACGGGCAGGCCTACAACTGCGCGGAGCACATTAACGGAGACCCAAACAATGGGCAGTACATGCCCCAGCACTACTACGGCCCGAGCCACGGCCCACTCTTAGGTCCGGACGAAATGCCGTGTCCCGGCCCGGGCCAGCTCCCCCAAGGCCCCCACCAAGCTGGAGGCATGGGCGGCCCGAACAACAACATGATGCACTCGGGCCACCGATCCCACACGCAGCAACCCTACCACTCGCAGCACCACTACCACCATCAGCAGGGGCGAGGCCCCATGCCCCCGCACATGTGGCAGCCTTCTTACCACAACACGCGCCCACAAGCTGGGCATCCCTATCGTAAAGGGCAGCAGCACCAGTGGCAGCGGCTGCCGCATGGACAGCACCACCAGTACGGCCGCCACCACTACGGGGGTCAGCAGCAAAGAGGCAACAAGCATGGAGGGCGCGCAGCAAACAGAAAGGCTTTTCAGTTCGACGGCACTACCCCTGCGTTCGTTCCACAGTTCCAGTCGAATCGCCAGCTCGAGCTTCAAATTCTGTCCCAGGCAAGCGCCGATGCAAATTCAAATTCACCCAACACACGCGTCAACAACGACTCCCCAGAAAGAAGACCTGCCCTGGATGTGGTGGCCCGACGCCGCCAACACAGAAAGGTATCTTCAGAAGCACAAGGACGGCGAAGGCCGGGTCTTCTTCCGGCTCAAAGACACGCCGCCCAGCCAACGGAAGAAAGTTCTCGACGAAATAGACATTTGGGTGGATGTTGGCACAGTGCCCTCCCTTGTGGGGGATAGAACTAAAGAGGAAGAGGCCACGTAGGGGCAAAACGCACGCGACGACTGACGCGCGGCGGGCACGCCCACTCCCACGGAAACAGCACAAGCAACACTTAACGCAATCGCAAGCAAACACAGTACGCGTCCGCGTACTCAGCTGAAACTTTTACATATAGCAGTACTTCGGCGGTTCCCAGTCGCTTCTTTGCGAGGGACCTGCACTGGGAATCCCAGAGCAGCCGACTGGCTTCTAACACAGCCAACAAGGAAGTTGATTTATTTTAAGTGCCTTTGAGCAGGCCGAGCTAGAAAGTGTGCGAGTAGTTCCTCTACCTCTACCGCTGCTACGCGCTCTCTGTCACACCCTTATTTACAAGAAAAACTCCTAGTCGTACCTCGGAACTTCAATTACTGTCAGTAGGGGTGCTTTCCACGGGGGGCAGCTCGTGCAGATCCTGGGAGATTTTGTGGCTGCTTCCTACTCGTAAATAGCCCTAGAACACTCTCCGCGCTCGCTAAGCAGCGTGAAGCAAAGTCAAAAATCTCAGAAACATTAAAAAAACAAAAGTACATCAGTTATCCCTGTAGCTAGCAGGGAAAGCGAGACAAGACTTGCACGTGGTGGGCGCGGTTGGCGCGCCCGGAAGGCGGCAAGCGCTGGCGGTTGTATGACGCTAAGCTGCTCCTTTGGAGGTAAATTTCGCTTTTATATTTCAAGGATCATTCTTCAGGAATAGTTGTCGCAGAAATGCGTGGTCACGCTGGCCACGTTCAATGTTGACGTGGGCAGCAGCTGTCGGCAGTGCGTTGCATGCGTAGGCGTCTGCCTCGAGCGTTGGCTACCTAAGGCCCGGCAAAGCCCTCATTGGCGGGTGAATGTTTCTGTTTTGAATTTGAAAGGGAGCTCAGGAGAGCCCTGCGGTATTCGGAGGGTCTGTTTAGGCGTTCTCTCGTTCGCGTTTTCCCGTGCGGCGGAGTTGTGAGAGTGTTGGGTTGCGCTCATTTGCTGCGTCGTCCGTCTGTCTTCGGGTTTCTGGAGTGAGCTGGCCTCGTCCCCTGCGGGCCTTCAGCCTGTGGCTGTCTGAGTTTCGGTTGCGCCGCTGCAGCAGCTGCCGCTGCCGCAGCTGCCGCAGCTGCCGCTGCTGCAGCTGCCGCAGCTGCTGCAGCTGCAGCGGCGGGAGCTTCCGATGGCGCGGCTGCGGCGGTGAAGGTCTTCTGCAGGGGCGGGGCGCTGGCGCTGCAGCAGCAGCGGCAGCTTCGGGGCGATGTTGCCGCGGGCTTTGCCGGGGGTGTTCCCGTCGCTGCCGCAGGAGGAGCTGCAGCTGCCGTCTCTGCAGAACTTCGACGCGAAGAGGAAGCGAAAGACCCACGTCGAGGGCCTCCCCAGCCTCGGCTCTTTGGGGGCGCGGGGCCTCCGCTCGAAGTCCTCGAAGGCCCTGGGCAGCAGCCCCTCGAGGGCGGGGGGCCCCGCGGAGGAGCTCGGCAGGGGGGGCCTCGCGCGGTGGCTGGGGGCCCCCGGGGCCCCCGGCAGCAGCAGCAGCAGCAGCAGCAGCAGAGAGAAGGGCGCGCGGCCGCGGCCCCCCAGGGGCAGTCTGGAGGAGCTTTTGGAAGTGGTGAAGACAATTGAAGAAGAATGTCTTTTGGACCCCGAGCGGGAGAGGGCCGCTGAGAAGGAACAAGACCCCTTCTTCAGGTGTATGGACACCATCGCGCAGGTCCTCGAGGAAACCCGGGACCTCATTGAGCAGCGCCGGCGCATCCTGGAGACCAGCGGTGAGCTCCTGCTGCTGCTGCCGCTGCTGCTGCTGCTGCTGCTGCTGCTGCTGCTGCTGCTGCTGCTGCTGCTGCTGGTGTTGGTGTGGGGTGGCGAGGGGCGCGGCTGGCGGGGTGGGAAGCGCCGCTTGCGTGGGCGCGGCGGCAGAGCCTGCGGACGCGTGCACGGCGCTCGCCTCAGCCCTGCTGCTGCTGCTGCTGCTGCTGCTGCTGCTGCTGCTGCTGTTTGCTGCAGGGAAATTGAGGCAGTGCATAAGATGAGCAAGGGGGCCCGGGGGCCCCCCGGAGGCTTCGACGACGAGGGCCGCGCTGCTGTTTCCCTCGCGGACTTGGCCGCGGGGGCCCCCGTGGGGGGTGAGGCGTGGGGCCCCGCAGCAGCAGCAGCAAACGCTGCTGCGCAGCAGCAGCAGCAGCAGCAGCAGCCTGAGGAGCTCACGGAGGAAGACGAGGCTGTGCTGCAGCGCTGGAAAGAAAGAGATAAACAATTCGACGCCCAAGTCGCGCAAATCGGAGACGCCATAGACCGCATCGGTGCGTCCCGCCCGAAACAAAATTAGGGTTTAGGGTTTAGGGTTCAGGGTTTAGGGTTTAGGGTTTGGGGGTTAGGGCTTAAAGTTCAGTGGTGGGGGTTAAGGGTTTCGTGTGTAGAGTGTAGGGTTTGGGGGTTTTTGGCTGGCGCGAGTGGGAGGCGGGGTTACGTTGTTTGTTTCAGTTGGACTAGGGTTTAGGGTTTAGGGTTTAGGGTTTGGGGTTTTGTGCTGCTCGTGGAGTGTACGTACACCTCACGCAGCGGCCGTGCTGCTGCCTGAGGGGAAGTAAAAGGCAAATGGGCCTTCGCGGAGTTGCTGCAGCACAAGGGCTTTTGCTCTTTTGCACCTGCTGCTGCTGCTGCTGCTGCTGCTGCTGCTGCTGCTGCTGCTGCTGCAGCTGAGGTGGCGGTGACGATAGGGCAGCAGGCGGAGCAGCACAGCCAGAAGGCGGAGGAGTTGGCGCAGCAGACGCAGCAAGCTGCTGCTGAGCTGCAGCAGCTGGACGCGAAGCTGAAGGCTTTCATGAAGAGCCAAAGCTCTTCCAACTTTTGCTGCAAACTCATTTTGCTGCTGCTCGTCCTGCTGCTCGGCTGCTTCGTCTTCTCCACCATCTACGCCCGCTACATGAAAAAGGCCTGACCACTCAGCAGCAGCAGCAGCAGCAGCAGCAGCAGCAGCAGCAGCAGCAGCAGCAGCGGGTGGTGGGGGCTCTTTGGGGCTGGGGGTCCCAGAGAGGCCTGGGGGCCCCCGGCGTTTTTTTGGGGGCCTCGGGAGACTTCTCTGGGGCTCAAGCAGCAGCAGCAGCAGCAGCAGCAGCAGCAGCAGCAGCAGCAGCAGCAGCAAGCGCTGCGTTGGTGGCTGGGTTTGCTGAGTTCTGAGGAAGCGCCCAGGAGGGCAGTGGCCTTCCGCTTAGCCTTTTTAGAGGCATTTATTCACTTTAAATGATTTAATTATCTAAAATGAAAAAATGCATTAAAAGGCACTTTCCAGATTTGCTGCACTCCGCCGCGGAGTGTACGTACAGCTGCGCGGTGTACGGACACCGGCGGGAAGTGCAAACAAGAAAAGTGTGCGAAGTGGAGCCGCACTTTTGATGAAATATAATTTGCGTTCTTAAATGCTTTTAATGAAATATAATTTGCATTCTTTAGTGCTTTTGTTTGTTCTAAATGCACTTTAAAGGCAAAGAGAGCCTGCCTCTGGGCAAACGTTGCTGCAGCAGCGAGCCACGCTGCTGCTGCTGCTGCTGCTGCTGCTGCGCTGCAGCAGGAGGCCCTTGGAAGGGCCTTTTGCTTGTCTTTGCTTTGCTGCTGCTGAGGGCCTTTGGGGGCCCCTTGGGGTGTACAGACACCTCGCGGGGCCGCGGGCTAAAAAGAAAAAGCTGGGGACAGAAACAATTAAACAAACCAAACCCCAACTCAGCAGCAGCAGCAGCAGCAGCAGCTGCAGCAGCACTCCTCTTGCTGCTGCTGCACTTGCTCCTGCTGCTGCAGTTGCTGCCGCTGTTGCTGCTGCAGCTGCTGCAGCTGCAAGCAGCTGCTGCGCTGCTGTCTTTTTCGGCTCAAGTTGAGTCCATTACCCAGCTGCTAGCTGCTGCTGGGTCTGCTGCTGCTGCGCCGCTAGCTGCTGCTGCTGCTGCGCCGCAAGTTGCTGCTGCTGCTGCGCCGCGAGCTGCTGCTGCTTCCCGAAGGCGAAGCGCTGCAGCGCCCCGCAGCAGCAGCAGCAACGGGCAGCTTCGGCTGCTTGCTTCCAGTGACTTGCTGCTACAGCAGCAGCAGCAGCAGCAGCAGCAGCAGCAGCAGCAATGCCAGCCGCAGCAGCAGATTAAAATCCGAAGTCCGCTTTTTGCAACTTGAAGTTTTCGAATTTATTTTATGAAGTGGCAGGCGCGGGGCTGCTGCGGACTTGTCTTGAAGTGCCATCTTTGTGTTTTTTTCTGGTTTTTTGTCCTTTTTTGTTTTAATTTAAATATATTTAAATAAATATAAATATATTTAAATTTAAATGCACCAAATTGTCCTTTTTTGCGCACTTTCGGGCCTTTTCGTTCACTGGTCTTTGGGCATCCGCACCACGAGGGAGCCGTAGGGCAGGTGTCTGTACACCTCAGACTCCGGCAACACCGCCAACTGCAAAATTCTTTTTTTCATTTTTTCCATTTCTTCTTTTGAAGTGCCAGGGGCTGGCTCGGCCTGCAGCAGCAGCAGCAGCAGCGGCAGCAGCAGCAGCAGCAGCAGCAGCAGCAGCAGAAGCAGCAGCAGAAGCAGCAGCAAAAGAGGCAAGAAGCAGCAAAAAGGGACAAAAGAAATTCAAAAAAAGAAAAGATTTCGAAAAGAACGAAAAGGGGGGTTGAGGAACTTTTTTAAAATGATTAAATGAATTTAAATCAAACAAAAAGGAATAAATTCGATTTCTTGAAAGGGCCATAAACAGATTTATAAAATAAATAAAAAGAGAATTAAAAAAAGAAAATAAAAAGGGAAAATAAAAAACAATAAAAGATTAAAGGAAGGCAAGTAAAGGCAAACACAATGTAATGCCAAAATAAATTCAAAATAAATTCGAAATAAATTCAAAATAAATTCAAAATAAATTCAAAATAACTTTAAAATAAATTCAAAATAACTTTTAAAAATATTCAAAATAACTTTAAAATAATTTCAAAATAAATTTAAAATAAATTTAAAATAAATTCAAAATAAATTCAAAAGAAAGCCAAAAGAGAAGTTAAAAGATTAAAAGTGAAATAAAAAGGGCCAAAAATGCAAAACAAGTTTCGAAGAAATTAAAAACTAATCCAACACAAATTAAAACAAATTAAAAAGAATAAAACGAATTAAAAAGAACAAAACAAATAAAAAGAATAAAACAAATAAAAAAGAATAAAACAAATAAAAGAATTAAAAAAAAGGATAACAGAAATTAAAGAAGAACAAAAGAAATAAAAGAATAAACAAACAAAAGAATAAAACAAATAAAAAAATAAAACAAATAAAAAAATAAAAGAAATAAAAGAATAAAACAAATAAAAGAATAAAAGAAATAAAAGAATAAAACAAATAAAAACAAACAAACAAAAGAATAAAACAAAAAAGAATCAAAAAAGAAAAAAAGAAAAAAGAAATGAAACAAAAACTCTTTTTGCCTACGCGGAAAGAAAAGGCTGCGAGGCTTTTGGAGTTTCTGCTGCCGCTTTGCTGCAGCAGCAAATTTCCCCCGCAGACTTTCCACAGAAAGTCCAGCAGCAAAACTGCTGCTTCCTCCAGTGCTGCTTCCTCCTCCTCCAGCTCCTCCTCTTCTTCCTGCTGCTGCTGCTGCTGCTGCTGCTGCTGCTGCTGCTGCTGCTGGGGGTCGGGCTGCTGCTGCTGCTGCTGCCGGTCGGGGGCGTCGCGCCGGTCGTCGTATTCAAGCTGCTGCTGCTGCTGCTGCTGCTGCTGCTGCTGCTGCTGCTGCTGCTGCTGCAAGGAGTTGAGCAGCAGCTGCTTGTTGAAGAGAAAGTGAATGACTTGGGGGCTGGCAGGTTCTGCTAAGCTTTCATCTGCTGCTGTTGTGTCTGCAGCAAAACCATAACAGGCTCTAATTAGTTCTGCATTAAGGACACAGATGCACTGCAGCAGCAGCAGCAGCAGCTGCTGCTGCTGCTGCTGCATCTGCTGCTGCTGTTGCAGCTGCTGGAGCTGCAGCGACGCGGCAAACAGAACTGGCTTCAGAACAGCGAGCTGCAGCAGCAACAGCAGCAGCAGGAACAAGAACAGCCGCAGCAGCAGCAGCAGCAGCAGGAACAAAAGCAGCCGCAGCAGCAGCAGCAACAGCAGCAGCAGGAACAAGAGCAGCAGCAGCAGCAGCAGCAGCAGCAGCAGCAGCAGCAGCAGCATGGTTACAGCCTGGGAGGACTTGGAGCTCGTTGGGCAGCAAACAAGAAAAGAAAGAAGTGGGAGGCAGCAGCAAATCAATGTCTGGCTGAGCAGCAGCAAAAGCTGCTTGGGTGGCGCTGAGGTGTCTGTACACCTCAGCTTCCAGCGACGGCCCCCCCTGCAGCAGCAGCAGCAAAAGAAACGCAGGCACTCAAGAAAGAACGAGGGTTTAGGGTTTAGGATTTAGGGTTTAGGATTTAGGGTTTAGGGTTTAGGGCTTAGGGTTTAGGGTTTAGGGTTTAGGGTTTAGGGTTTAGGGTTTAGTGTTTAGCTGACCAGCAGGCTGACGAACAGCGAGGTTTCTGTCGCATGCAAACCCACCACCTCCAAGGGCCCCTGCAGGCACCGCAAGTTAACCCAAACCCGTGCAAACAGACAGCAGCAGCAGCAGCAGCAGCAGCAGCAGCAGCAGCAGCAGCAGCAGCAGCAGCAGCAGCAGCAGCAGCAAGAAGAGTTGCAGCAGCCCTGGGGGCTGACCGCCTGGGGAAGGGCCCTTTGGAGGCTGCGTTGAGTGGCGCGCAGCAGCAGCGGGGAGAGTTTTGCTGCTGCTGCTGCTGCCATTTTGTAGGTGGGGGCCCCTGGGGCGGGGTCTTGCTGCTGCATCATCTGCTGCAGCTGCAGCAGCAGCAGCAGCAGCACGGACGGCCGCGCCACGGGGGCCCCCGCCTTCGAGACCTCCTGCAGCAGCTTGCGGGACTCTGCTGCTCCGAAGAGCGACAGCAGCTCCGCGAGCAAGTCCTGCAGCTCCTGCTGCTGCTGCCGCTGCTGCTGCTGCTGCTGCTGCTGCTGCTGCTGCTGCTGCTGCTGCTCGAGCCAGCGCGTCAGGGCCCGCAGGGTCTGGCCCCACTGCTGCAGCTGCAGCCCCTCGAGGTGCATGCGCAGGTAAACGTCTTGTGCTGCAGCAGCAAACTCTTCTTCTAAAGAACTTAGCTGCGGAGTCACTTCCAGCAGCAGCCACTCCAGGGGGCCCCTCTTGGGGGCCCACAAGCAGCTGCCAACTTCGGGGGCCCCGTAGATTTCCACGGGGCCGCTGGCGCCCCACGCCTCTGCAGCAGCAGCAGCAGCAGCAGCAGCAGCAGCAGCAGCGGTGCGCGCGCTTACAGCAGCAGCAGCGCCGGCAGCAGCAGCAGCTAAGTTGCGGCGATGCTGCACGGAGCATTCATTGGCAGCAGCAGCAGCAGCAGCAGCAGCAAGAGCTGCAGCAGCGCCGTGCCAAGCAGCACCGCCATCGCAGCAGCGAACAACTGCGCTGCTGCTGCAGCTGCGACAGCGACAGACACAACAGCAGCAGCAGCGGCAGCAGCAGCAGTGGCAGCAGCAGCAGCAGCAGCAGCAGCAGCAGCAGCGTGAGCTCACTAAACATTGCGTGGACTGGAGGAGCAGCAAGGGCCTCGGCAAGGGCGCAGGTGACCCTGTGAGCTGCTGCGCTGCTGCTGCTGTCTGCTGCAGCAGCAAGAATTAAATTCAATTTGTCTTTTGCTGCGCTGAGCTGCAGCAGCTGCACTGCCACAGAGTCAAAGGGGGCCCTCCATGCTGCTTGCTGCTGCAGCACCGTCAAGAGTCCTGTCCGGAAGAACTGCTGCTGCTGCGGGTCCTGCAGCAGCAGCTGAAGCGGCACGCGCAGCAGCAGCGTGCGCAGCACAGCACAACGCAGCACAGCAGCAGCAGCAGCAGCAGCAGCAGCAGCAGCAGCAGCAGCAGTCAAGATTCAGAAGCTTTCGTGTCCCCCTGTCCTGCTGCTGCACCCTGTGGGGCCCCACAGAAAGAGGGGCCCCTGGGGCCCCCGTCGCATGCAGGCAGCAGCAACTCGTGCTGCAGCAGTCCAGACAAAGCGCAGCTGCGCCCGGGCGCAGCAGCAGCAGCAGCAGCAGCAGCAGCAACTGCTGCCGCTGCTGCTGCTGCTGCAGCCCCTCTAGGGGCCCCCTAAGGACATGCGGAAGGGCCTCCAGTTGCTGTTTGTCTGTGGGGGCCCTTTTGACTGCCTTTAGAACTATTTGCTGCTCAGCTGCTGCTGCTTCTTTCTGCTGCTTGCTGCTTTGCTGCTTACTTGGTTTGCTGCTGCTTTCACTCTTACCAGCAGCACGACTGGCGAGTCTGCTGCTGCGCTTTCGCCTTCTTGCTCTGCGAGGCGGCGCCGGGCAGCAGCAGCAGCAGCAGCAGCAGCAGCAGCATCGGGTGCAGCAGCAGCAGCAGAGTCGGGCTCAGCAGCAGCAGCTCCAGGGGCCCCCCCCTCCTCCGAAACGAATCCAGGGGGGCCTCCAGGGGCTGCAGCAGCAGCAGCAGCAGCAGCAGCAGCAGCAGCTGGCTGCGTCTGGGCCCTTCGCTGCTGCCAAACAGCAGGGGGGCTGCTGGCCTGCAGGGCGTACATTTGCGGCGCTGCAGTGATGACGTAGTGCTGCTGCTGCTGCTGCTGCTGCTGCTGCAGGTGAGGGTGGGGCTGCAGCAGCAGCAGCGCCTGCTGCTGCGGCCCCACAGCTAGGCTGCTGCTGTAGGGATGCTGCTGCTGCATAGCCGGGTGGTGAATCGCCCCTGTTGCACTTATTGTTATTGTTGCTGGTGCTGCTGGTGCTGCTGCTGCTGCTGCTGCTCGTGCTGCTGCTGCTGCTGCTGGGGAAGCTGGGGCTCCAGGAGCAGGCAGAGCAGTCCGCTGGTGCGCACGCTCCTGCCGCTGCTGCTGCCACTGCTGCTGCTGCTGCTGCCGCTGCTGCTGCAGCTGCAACAGCTGCTGCTGCTGCTGCTGGCGCAACAGCTGCTGCTGCCGCTGCTGCTGCTGCAAGAGCTGCTGCTGCCGCTGCTGCTGCTGCTGCAACAGCTGCTGCTGCTGCTGCTGCTGCTGCAGGTCCTGCCGACGCCCGCTCTGCGCCGTTGCTTGCCTGGTTTGCTGCTGCTGCTGCTGCTGCTGCAGACGCTCGCGACGAGAGAGCTGCGCAGCACTTTCGCTGCTGCTGCTGCTGGCGGAGGCGCGGCCATTTTGGGTGCTGGCAGCTACCCGCCGCTGCTGCTGCCGATTGCTGGACTGCCGCTGCTGCAGCTGCTGCTGCAGCTGCTGCTGCTGCTGCTGCAGCAGCTGCTGCTGCTGCTGCTGCCGTGTTCGACTGCGGCGCTGCTGAGCCACTGAAGCCTCATCTTGGTCCTCAAACTCTGGAAGCAAAGGCCCTTCTGCTGCTGCCATTCTGCTGCCTGCTGCTGCTGCTTCTGGGGCCCTCCGTTGCCAGGAGTTCTCATTTGCTGCTGGCTCTCGGCTTCTCCTAGTGGTCGGTGCTGCAGCAGCAGCAGGAGCTGCAGCAGCAGCAGGAGCTGCAGCAGCAGCAGCTGGGGCTACCTGATTTGGGGAATAATGGGCCGCGCGGCCTGAAGCAGCAGGAGCAGCAGATGGCTGGCGACGCCTTTCGGCTGCTGCTGTTGCTGCAGTTGCTGCTGCTGCTGCAGCAGGTGCTGCTGCTGGCTCTTCTTCCTCTGCATCCTCTGCCTCAGTCTCTGCTGTGCTGCGCTTTGCTGCTGCTGCAGCTCTCGGCTGGTTTGCTGCAGCAGCTGGCAGCAGGCCGTCGCCCAGCGCCTCAGCTTCAGTGTCTCTCAGGACAGCAGAAGCGTTTCGAGAGGACCACTGCTGCAGCTGCTGCTGCTGCTGCTGCTGCTGCTGCTGCTGCTGCTGCTGCTGAGTTCCTGCTGCTGCTGGCGGCAAACTGCCTAGCCCTGCGCCGCTGCGCACAATATCAGGCCCTGTTTGAGAGGGCCTAAGCTGCTGCATTGCCGGTGCTTGCTGCTGCTGCTGCTGCTGCTGCTGCTGCTGCTGCTGCAGGGGCTCTGCCAGCTGCTGCTGGGGACTGCCGGCAGTTGGGGGAAAAGAGTTGGCCTGTTGGTGCTGCTGCAGCAGCAGCTGCTGCTGCAGCAACAACTGCTGCTCTGCGGCAGTGGCTGCATCGATGGTCGGGGCCGCGGCTGGCTGAAAGGCTGCTGCTGCTGCTGCTGCTGCAGCAGGATTTGCAAGGAGGCCGCCTGCTGCTGCGCCTTGCTGCGCCTGCGTGTCTGCCCCAAACCGCTGCTGCTGCTGCTGCTGCTGCTGCATGTCTTGCTGCCTCTGGGCGCTGCTGAGCGCATACTGCTGCATGAGCAGCTGCTGCTGCCTCTGTTGTTCTTCGTGCTGCAGCCGCAGGAGCGTTTGGGTCTCGAGAAGCGCCGGCTGCTGCTGCTGCTGCAGCTGCTGCTGCTGCTGCTGCTGCGCTGCTGCAGCAGCGTCGAATACCGCGTCCAGGCCGTCTGCGCCCAGCAGCACAGCCCCCCTGTTCAGCCCTGTGGGGCGCAGCTGCAGCACGAAATCTGCTGCTAAGGAAGACAGCAGCAACTCAACAGCAGCTAAGTTGCACTGCAGCTTGCTGAAGGCACTTCCGCCTTCTCCGAAGCCCCGGGGGCCCTTGGCAGCAGCGGCCACGGAGTCCACCAGCAGCGACGGCTGCTGCTGCTGCTGCTGTTCCTGCTGCTGATGCTGCTGCTGCTGCTCCTGCGCGGGCTGCTGCTGCTGCTCGTCTTCCCGCTGCTGCTGCTGCTGCTGCTGCTGCTGCTGCTGCGGCTCGTCGTGCTGCTGCGGCGCGTCGGGGAGCTGCTGCTGCAGCCGGCGGACGGGAAGTGCAGCAGAAGAAGCGGAAGGGCCAGTTCGCCATGGCTGGGGAGCAGCAGCAGGATTTTGGAGGGCTGGCTGCTGGTGCAGCAGCTGCTGCTGTTGCTGCTGCTGCAGAAGGAGCTGCTGCTGCTGCTGCTGCAGCAAGAGCAGCTGCTGCTGTTGTTGGTGCTGCTGTTGCTGCTGCAGCTGCTGCTGCAGCAGCTGCTGCTGCTGCGGCTGTTGCTCCTGCTGATGCTGCTGTTGCTGCTGCTGCTGCTGCTGCTGCGGCGCCTCTGGCTCGTCTGCGAGCGCGGGCGGGCTGGGCACCCAGGGGATGCCCCACTCCTTCCCTTCCGTAACTTCCTCGAGGTCAACCATCTGCAGCAGCGCCTCCTGCTGCTGCTGCTGCTGCTGCTGCTGCTGCTGCTGCTGCTGCTGCTGCTGCTGCTCGCCCCCCTCTTTGTACTTCAAGCAGCACAAGAAGGCCGCCTGCAGCAAACCCACCTGCTGGCCCGCAGCTGCGCGGCGAAGAGCAGCAGGAGAAAAAGGGTCTCCGGGGTTAACTCCGAGGGGCCCCCAGGGGCCCCTGGGGGCCCCCGTTTCGAAGTCCGTGGGTTGGGGGATGTTGGCGAAGAGGAAGGCCTGGGCCTGCTGCTGCACCAAGGCTTCGAGCGGCTGCTGCTGCTGCTGCTGCTGCTGCTGCTGCTGCTGCTGCTGCTGCAGGGCCTCCACGGAGCGCGCGAAGGCCTCCAGCTGCAGCCACAGCAGCTTCTGCAGCAGCGGCAGACACACGGGATATGCTGCTGCTCTGCAGCGAGCAGCAGCAGCTTCGCAGAAGCCCAGAGGAGCAGCAAAGCCCCAGCACTGCGCGTCTTGGGTGCAGGGCTGGCCCTCCAGCGCTTCGCAGGCCACCTGCAGCAGCGCCCCGTGCTGCTGCTGCTGCTGCTGCTGCTGCTGCTGCTGCGGGGCAGCAGCAGAGGACAGCCCCAGCAGCACCGGCCGGCTCCAGGGGACGCACACGTGCAGGGGCGATACTGCAGGACCAATGGTCACGGGGCCACTGGCCGCTGCTGCTGCTGCTGCTGCTGCTGCGGGCTCTGCTGCTGCCGCTTCTTCTGCTGCGGGGGCGCCGCTTGCTGCAGCAGCAGCAGCAGCAGCAGCAGCAGGCAACACAGAAAAGGGGGGCCTGCAAAGCCCAGAGAGACAAATAGCCCCCCAGCGACACTCCAGCTCTGCTGTGCCTTCGCAAGCCTCGCCCAGCCGCCTCTGGGGAGTGCAGCCCCCAGCAGTGAGCGAGCAGTAGTAGCCCTGCAGCAGCAGCAGCAGCAGCAGCAGCAGCAGCAGCAGCAGCAGCAGCAGCAGCAGCACTTTGGCATGAGGAAGCTGCGCTGCCCGCCACGAAGGAGGATACTGCAGGGCTGCTCTATGAACACATTTGGGGGGCTGCGAAGCATGCAGGAGCAGCACCGAAGCAGCAGCAGCAGCAACAGCAGCAACAGCTGCGGTGCCGCAGCGGCAACAGCAGCAGCAGCAACGGCACGGCAGCAGCAACAGCAGCAACAGCAGCTGCAGCAGCAGCACCGCAGCGACAACACCAGCAGCAGCAGCAGCAGCAACAGCATCGCAGCAGCAACGCCAGCAGCAGCAATAGCAGCAGCAACAGCAGCAACAGCAACAGCAGCAATAACAGCAGCAGCAGCAGCAGCAGCAGCACATGCAGCACAAGAAGCAGCAGCAGCCCAACAAGCAGCAGCAGCTGCTGCTGCAGCTCTGTGGCGCTTCTGCATTGGCCTTACTTCTCTGCAGCAAGTGCTGTCGCAGCCAGCAACTCCTCTAGGGCCCATTCCACTTTGCAGTGGCTGGAAGCTGGAGGCATAGCTGCTGTGGGGGCCGAGCAGCAGCTGCTGCTGCTGCTGCTGCTGCTGCAGCAGCTGCTGCTGCTGCTGCTGATACAGCTGGTGCCGCGCCTGCTGGGAGGCGAAGGGAGAGCTGCACTCGCCCCGAGCAGCACTCAGCAGGTCGCAGCTGAAGTCATCTTGCTGCTGCTGCAGCTGCTGCTGCTGCTGCTGCTGCTGATTGAGGGTTTGCTGCTGTTGCGTCCGACCCTGCTGCTGCTCCCCCAGGGCCTGCTGCTGGTGCTGTGCGTGCTGCTGCTGGAACTGCGGTTGCATTTGCTGTAGCTGCTGAAACTGCTGCTGCTGCTGCTGCAGCTGCTGCTGCTGCTGCCCCCAGTTGGGGCTATTCGAGCCACCGCTGCTCAGAGCTCCTGGTTGCTGCGCTGCGGAGCCCCCTGCAGCAGCAGCAGCTGCTGCTGCTGCTGCTGCTGCACTGGCAGAGCCGGTGCTCCCTGGCGCAGCGCCCCCACTCACGCCATCTCTAGAGCTGCTGCTGCTGCTGCTGCTGCTGCTGCTGCTGCTGCTGCTGCCGGTTGTTTCATCTTCATCTATCCACTCGACGTCGTCCCCCCAGGACTCATCCCAGGGCACCCACTCTCCTTCTTCCAGCACTTCTAGTTCTTCGTCTGCTGCTGCTGCTGCTGCTGCTGCTGCTGCTGCTGCTGCTGCTTGATTTCCAGAGCCTCCAGCAGCTCCCAAAGTCCCGGGGGCCTCTCCCCTCAAAGGCGTTCGGCCCCGCCGCCGCACTGGCTGCAGGTTGCTGCTGCTTCTGCTGCTGGGCCCCTGGGGCCCTGCTGCTGCTGCTGCTGCTGCTGCTGCTGCTGCTGCAGGCCTTCGACCTGGGTCAGCAGCACCAGTCCTTTGTGCTCTAGCAGCAGTAGCAGCAGCAGCTGCTGCTGCCGCTGACGGCGACGCTGGTGCTGCTGTTGCTGCCTCTGCCGGTGGCGGCGCTGCTGCACCTTCCAGTGCTGCTGCTGCTGCTGCTGCTGCTGAGGCCTCCACAGCTGCTGCAGGACGCGCAGCAGCAGCTGAAGGCGTCTGCTGCTGCTGCCCCGGCCGAGACCGCGGCGAATCGAATCGGGCCCGTGCAGCGTTGCCCTCCACTGCTTCTGCCGCTGCTGCTGCTGCTGCTGCTCTTTCTGCTGCTGCTGCTGCTGCTGCTGCTGCTGCTTCGTCTGCTGCTAGGTCTTGTGGGGACCCTCTTATCTCTCCGTGTGCAGCATCAGCAGCTGCAGTGTCTTCTTCAGCTGCTGCTGCTGCCTCGGACTGGCTCCCTAAAGAGGCTCGCGGCTCCCTTCCTTCTGCTGCTGCTTCTGCTGCTGCTGCTTCTGCTGCTGCTGCTTCCGCTGCTGCTGCTGCTGCTTCTGCTGTTAGCCTTTCTTCGCCTCCAGCTGTAGCTAATTCAGCTGAATCAGATGAAAACGGAGGCGCCGGTGTCTGTTGTGGCGCTGCTGCAGTTGCTGCAGTTGCTGCAGTTGCTGCTGCTGCAGCTTCTGTGTCTGCCGCTGCTGCTGCAGCAAAATCTTCTGTTTCTTGATTCTGCCTGGGGGCCTCCGCAGGCGTAGATGCAGCAGCAGCAGCAGCAGCAGCAGCAGCAGCGTAGCGGTCGGCAGCAGCAGCGCTGCCTGGTCCCTCTGCCTCTGCTGCTGCTTCTCCTGCTTTGCTGCTGCCAGCCAGCTGCTGCTCCTCGCGCTCACCAGGCCCTCCAGCAGCAAGCGCAGCAGCAGTTTCTGCTGCTGCTGCTGCTGCTGCTGCTGGGTCATCGCCCTCTGCCTCTGTTTGCTGCTGCTGCTGCTGCTGCATTGTGGGGGCGGCCCAGTCCCCTGGCCCCACAGCAGCAGGCAGCTGGTTTGCTGCAGTGCCCTTTTGCTGCTGCCGCTGCGGCTGAGGAGACAAAAAGGCAGCTGCTGCTTCCTCCTCTCTGCCGCCTGCCAGTAACCCCGCCCCTGCTGCTGCTGCAGGCCCTTCTTCCCCCGCTGCTGCTGCTGCTGCTGCTGCTGCTGCTGCTGCTGCTGCTGAACGGCGAAGCACTGGAGTCTCGGAATCATCATCAGAGTCTTCCCACTCATCATCTGCGTCTGTCTCCTCCGAGGGGAAGGCAGAAGGCAGCATTCCGAAGCCTCTGTCAGCTGCTGCGTCTGCTTCGTTTGCTGCTGCTGCTGCTGCTGCTGCTGCTGCTGCTGCTGCTGCTGCAGCGGGTGCGGGGGCCTCCGCTGCTGCTGCAGCAGGCGACGCCCACGCTGCTGCTGCTGACCCGCCCTCTGCTGCTTCTGCTGCTTCACTCTCCCCCCCATAACTCCTCTCAGAGTCCTTAACCCAAGGCCCTGGCAGCATGCCCCCAGGGGGCCCCTCGGGGGGCCCCTCGGGGGGCCCCTCGGGGGGCCCCCCTGGGGGCCCCTCTGGGGGCCCCCCTGGGAGCGCCCCTGGGGGCCCCTCGGGGGGCCCCTCTGGGGGCCCCCCTGGGAGCCCCTCTGGGGGCCCCCCTGGGAGCGCCCCTGGGGGCCCCTCTGGGGGCCCCTCGGGGAGGGACCCGCTTGAGGGCACGGCTGGGGGCCCCCATGTGGGGCCCCCAGGGGGCCCCTCACCAGGCCGTCTTGGCTGCAACTGCTTCTGGCTGCTGCTGCTGCTGCTGCTGCTGCTGCTGCTGCGGCTCTGCAGAACTGAGGCCCCTTCTTCAGGCAGCACTTCGTTTTGCCCAGCGGAGCTGCGCTGCTTCTCCTTTTCGTCTGCTGCTGCTGCGCTGCTGCTCTGCCCCGAACCTCTCTTGTCAACGCCGCTGCTGCCGTCGTTGCTGCTGCTGCTGCTGCTGCTGCTGCTGCTGCTGCTGCTGGGGGGCGAGGGCAAGAACCCCCCCCGCCAGTCGTCTTCTTCATCTGAGTCTTCTGTTTCCTCGAAAGTGCTTCTCCCTTCACTTTCCATTTCTGTAGAGGCCCCAGCAGCAGCAGCAGCAGCAGCAAAGCTGCTGCCTGCAGCAAGGGGGCCCCACAGGTCCTCTGGGGGCCCCCCGAGGGGCCCCCCCGCCGGGTTCGGGGGGTTTTCAAGGACCCAGGGGGCCCCTTCCGAGGGAGGGGGCCCCCCTTCCCAGCTCTGCGCTGCTGCTGGACCCCTTTTGTTTTCATTTAAATCCCACTCGGGGGGCCCCCAAGCTGCTGCTGCTGCTGCTGCTGCTGCTGCTGCTGCTTCCGCAGCTTCGCCAGGTGTCTGTACACCCCACGCAGCTGCCTGTACACCCGAACCAGCTGCCTGTACACCTGAACTCAGCTCCTCCCCAGGGGCCCCCAAACCAAACCCTTTTAGTTGGGGCCCCAGGGCCTCAGCTTCTGGGGGCAGAGGCTCAAGGGGGCCCCCCTGGGGGCCCCCAAAGGGGCCCCCGGGGGGGCCCCCGGGGGGGCCCCCAGGGGGGCCCCCCAGGGTCCTCTCAGGGGGGCCCCCCCCCAGCGCCTGAATGGCCTCAGGGGGGCCCCCAAGAGGGGCCCCTTCCCATGTTGCTGCATCTTCTGGGTGCTGAGGTGTATAGGCAGCTGCTGCTGCTTCAAAGGCTTCTTCAAAAGCATTAAACCCCACACCTGCTGCCTCTTCCGGCAGCAACGGCTCCCCCACAACGTGCTGCTGCTGCTGCTGCACCTGCTGCTGCTGCTGCTGCTGCTGCTGCTGGTTGTCCATTTCAGGCTCAGCTTCTTCAGCCGCTGCTGCTGCTGCTGTGCTGGCCTCAGGGGCCCTCTTTGGGGCCATTTCTTCCACCAAGGCTTCTTCGCTGAAGTTGGCCTCAAACTGCTGCTGCTGCTGCTGCTGCTGCTGCTGCTGCTGCAGCTGCAGCTGCGGGGGCAAGTGCGGCACCTCTTGCGTTTTTCCTTGTCCTCTTGGAAGCGCCTTTTGCTGTTCAGCCACCCCGTGGACAAGGACAGCCCCATCGTGTTGCTGTTGCTGCTGCTGCAGCAGCTGCTGCTGCTGCTGCTGCTGCATTTCGTCCATTTGCTGTGCTGCAGGTCCTTCTTGCTGCTGCAGCAACATCTGCGCTTCATGCGGCTGCTGCGGCGCTTGCTGCGGTCTCGCCTGCGGAGGCAGTGGCTGCTGCTGTGCAGGATGTAACTGCACTGGCAGATGCTGCTGCTGCTGCTGCTGCTGCTGCTGCTGCTGCTGCGGCGGCGGCGGCGACGGCGGCGGCGGCGGCCCCTGTGGCAGCACCTGCTGCTGCTCCGGAGTGCGCTGCAGCAGCTTGTGGTGGTGCTCGTGCTGCTGCTGCTGCGGTGTTTGTTGCGGCCCTGTTTGCTGGAGCAGCACATGAGGCTGCTGCAGCATGGGTCCCTGCTGCTGCTGCTGCTGCTGCTGCTGCTGCTGCTGCATGAGTGGCTGGTTTAGGGAAGGGGACTGCATTGGGTTTTGGCTGGGGGCCCCAAAAGGCGGCCCCTGGACCCCAGGCTGCTGCAGCAGCAGCTGCTGCTGCTGCAGCTGCCCCTCAAGAGCTCCTGCTGCTGCGCCTTTGCTGCTGGGGGGCGCAGCTGCCCCATGCGCCGCTGTGTCTGCACTGGCTGTCGTTGTGGAGGCCTTGCCGTGCTGCTGCTGCTGCTGCTGCTGCTCATGTTGCTGCAGCTGCTGCTGCTGCTGCTGCTGCTGCTGCTGGTCGAAGAGGTCGTCCCTGAAATCGTCTGCCACTGGCGGCAAGAGGAACTCCAGCCCGTCCATCCCCCACCCGCTGCTGCTGCTGCTGCTGCTGCTGCTGCTGCTGCTGCTGCTGTAGGCGTCCGGGGCCCTCCTCCAGGCCTGTCTGCAGCGGACGCCGCAGCGGCGCCGCCGGGGGGGCCCCCCAGAGACCCGCGGAGAAGGGTACCGGGGGATGCAGAAGGAAGAGGCCCAGGGGGCCCCCAGGGGGGCCCTTTCGGGGGGGGGGAAGCAGTAACTCAGTGCATGCGCGGGCCACAGGGGGGCCCCCCGGGCCCCCCCCTTCCCCAGGCCCAAAGAGGCAATGGGGGCCCCCGCCAGCGAAGCAGCAAGGGCCTCTTCGGGGCCCAGGGCCCCCAGCCGCAGTTCCCGCACGGCCTCGCTGCTCAGGGGGCCCCCCAGGGGGCCCCCCGCGGGGGCACTGTCCTCGGCGGCTTCTGCTGCTGCTGCTGAGGCCTCTGCTGCTCGCAGCTCCTTCAGCAGCTGCAGCGCTGTCTCTTTCCACTGCGTAACGTCCATGCTGGGCACTTGCTGCTCAGGCAGCAGCAGCAGCTGCTGCTGCTGCTGCAGCTGCTGCTGCTGCTGCTGCAGCTGCTGCTCTTGCTGCTCCGGATGCGCTTTGTGCTGCAGCGGCTGGAGTTGTCTGGGAGCAGCAGCAGCTGCGTTGTTGCTGGCAGTTGCCGTCGCCGCCGCCGCCGCCGCAGCAGCAGCAGCAGCAGCAGCAGCAGCAGCAGCAGCAGCAGAGTCAGTGCTGCTGGGCACCACAGCCAAGTAAGACTGGCAGTGGCCCCTCACACAAGACCCGCAGCCCTCGCGGCAGCGGTAGGGGCCCCCGCAGGGGTCTCCCTCGAGGCCCTCTGGCAGAGTGCAGACATACTGGGGCCCCGGGGCCCCCAGGGGGCCCCCCAGGGGGCCCCCCAGGGGTCCCCCCAGGGGGGCCCCCAGGGGGCCCCCCAGGGGGGCCCCCAGGGGGGCCCCCTGGAGCGCACGGGGGCGCCCCGCGGCGGCCGCCGGGCCAGCGTCTGGAGGCTGCTGGAGCCCCCGCTGCTGCGGGTAACCCTGCTGCTGCTGCTGCTGCTGCTGCTGCTGCTGCTGCTGCTGCTGCTGCTGCTGGGGCCCCGCGGGGTGTGGGGCCTCCACGAGGGCACAGGTCAAGAGCCCGCAGCTGCTGCTGCTGCTGCTGTCTGTGGGGTCGCAGGGGTCCCCGAGGCCCTTGGGGGGGGCGAAGCAGCGGCGGGAACTGGAGCTGCAGAGAAGGCCTTTGCGGCAAAGAAAAGAAGAAGAAAAACAAGACTCTCCCGCGCGGGCAGTTCCGGGGAAGGTGCAGGTGCCTGCAGCAGCAGCAGAGGAATAAAGGCGAAGTTAAATCAATTAATTGAACATAAATTCAAAAAAATATTAAAAAAATATAAAAAAATGCAAAAATACGAAAAAAAATGAAAAAATTAGAAAATTAGCAGCAAAAGGTGACACTCAAAGCAGCTGCAGCAATTCGCTGCAGCAGCTCTTCTCACACAAAATCCCCTTCGCCCAAATATGCGAAAAGGGGCCCTGGGGGCCCCTGGGGGCCCCTGGGGGCCCCTGGGGGCCCCTGGGGGCCCCTGGGGGCCCCCGGGGGC